ACTGACCACCTTTCTCAGGGTCCTTTCCACTCCACAGCTGTCATATCTGCTGAAGGGTAGAGTTTCAGGTAGAGGACTTCTGAAAAGTCACCCGGGTATTCTTTAACCATGTGCTCTACAACTATCTACGAAGACCTGCTGCTTTAAACGGGTTTTGCAATAGTGGAGATAAGTTATAATATGCAGCAGTCCTCGAATAACGTTGTTTTGTTCAATATCATGTAGTCCTCATGTTGATAAGACGCTGTAGGAACTTAACTCTCGTTTATATCAATTGGCCTCTGGTAAAATTGGCTTGCCTATACAACGTCTGGCTTAAAGTTGCAGAACCCTAGGACAAGGCTAAGTGAGGATTTACTGTGCAGCATCTGTATTATTCTATTCCGCGCCGCCACTTGTTGGCTTGCATCAGGAGCTAGGATCCAAGTGGAAAAAAAAAAAAAAAAAAAAAGTTCGCACGCAAGGTTGAATTACAACGCGAGTGGAAACAATTCGCCCCCAAGCTGAAGTGGCCTGGAGGTGGCAGCGGGAGGGGCGATGGGAGATGGACAGTCAAGAAGCGGGTCACTCCACTCCCGCTCCTTCTCGGATGCCTGGAACACCTCCTCCGGTTACAGAGGCCTCCCCTGAAGGACAGGGGTTTCGGGGACCAAGCCTCGTTCGAGACGGGGAAAAGGAGGCCCAAAGAGAAAGCAGGGTGAGTAGGTGACTGCGCAGGGCCCCGCCTCCGCCTCCACGCAATCGACGGAGCTGCCAAGGGCTAGGATTCAGGAATCACTAGACTTCCGCCCGCGGGAGGGGTGGGATGCTGTGACGTCAGGACCCGCAGTCCCGTCAGAGGGACCCCTTCTGCCCACGGAGCCTCCCAGCCGGCCGCCAGCACCGCGGCCCTGCCCTGCCCGGGAGAAAACTGCCCCTCTGCCCCCCGAGGCCGCGGAGAGCGCTTCAGGGGCCCCATGACGCCGCTCGCACTCACTGTCTTCCTAGGAAGATGGAAGGAGGTGGAAACCGAAACCGGTAGCGCCTTTACCGCTCACGGTACTTTCTCGGGGCTGCAAGTCCGCTTGTAGGGGACGCGAGGGTCCAGCTGGCACCAATTGCCCCCTTCACTCCAGGGACTCACCAGGGGTAGCAGCCGGCGGCGACGCAACAGGACCGGGTAGGGGAGAGGGGCGGAGCCCAAAACCCAAGGGAGCGCAGATCCCATCTGACCCCGCCCACAAGTCACATGGGTCACAAGCCCCGCCCCCACTCCTTGCTTGCTGGGACTTGTAGTGTTCAGATGACTGGGCTCCAGGGGATCCTCAGGGATCTCATTCTAAGGAGCTTATTTCTTCCTCTAAAACAGCGGTTCTCAACCTGTGGGTCGCGACCCCTTTGGGGGTCCAACGACCCTTTCACAGGGGTCGCCTAAGACCATCCTGCATATCAGGTATTTACATTATGATTCATAACAGTAGCAACATTACGGTTATGAAGTAGCAACGAAAATAATTTTATGGTTGGGTCACAACATGAGGAACTGTATTGAAAGGGCCAGAAGGTTGAGAACGACTTCTCTAAAACAAGCCATTTACTTAACTTAAAAAAAAATTTCAAACTTTATTTCTTTCAGTTTTGAATGAGAAAGCTCCATCTCTTTGGATGGCCATTGAGAGGTCATCTTCATTTTTCTCCTGCTTCCACATAGCACTTCATTGAGAGTCTTATAGATGAGACCCTCTTTGACATTTAATCATGCCTCCCACCTACCCCTAAAGGAGACCCAACAACCTGCCAGGTGCCCCAGAGTTTGTGTTTCATCATTTCCTTTTTCCCCCTCCTTAATCCTCATCCACGGACATGCTTAGAGAGAGGAAGTGAGAGCCAGAGAGAGAAACGTCCATCGGTTGCCTTCTGTACGTCACTGGAGATCAGACCAAAACCCAGACATGTGCCCTGACTGGGAATGGAACTGGCAACCCTTTGGTGTTCAGGACGATGCTCAACCGACCGAGCCACTCCGGCCAGGCATCATGTCCTTTCTATAAAGAAGTGATCCTTTAGCATGAACTCTGTCGAGGTAGTACTCTTCCCGAAGGCTAAGAATGAAACTCAGCAAGAATCCTGCCAAGTCACCGTAGAGAGAATTCCTCATCTTTAATATCTGAGCGATCTCTGGCCTGCCTTCAGCAAGAATCCTAAACTGGTTTAAGCAAGAATCCTTCCTACCCTTGGTGTCTCCTCCTTTTCATCATCTTCTTTCTTTCTTTTTTTAATTAAAAACATATTGATTAATTTTAGAGAGAAAGTGAGAGAAACATCCATTCGTTGTTCCACTTACTTACACATTCATTGGTGTATTGGGACTGTGGGGAGGTTACTCTCACCAACTGAGCTACCTGGCCAGGGCTCCTTTCCGTAACTTTCATCCACTTGTCCTTATTGTATTTAGAGTTGAGCACAATCTGTCTTCCCTATTGTAATGTCCCTATTGCAATAGTCCTGGATAAAGTCTTTCGTACCATTTTAATAAGGGTCAGCATAGTTATTTCTTTAACACTCACATGCTATCTCTGAAGGTTAAACATAGAAGGGCCCCTCCTCCAAAGAGCGGCATCTGAAGTTATGCCCCTGAGGCACTTTAGGTTTGAGTCAGGAGACTGAGCATTCCTAATTCTGCCTTCTCACGAGACCCGTGACGTTCAGCTGAGGAGAATGATGGTGAGGAGTGAGTAAACCAGGGGGTGGGGCTTCTGTTGAAAGTTCAAATCACCTTCTGAGTTACCAAAATAATGCTCTTTCATTTTATTTTTTAAAAAAAAATATATTTTATTGATTTTTTACAGAGAGGAAGGGAGAGAGATAGAGAGTTAGAAACATCGATGAGAGAGAAACATCGGTCAGCTGCCTCCTGCACATCTCCTACTGGGGATGTGTCCGCAACCCAGGTACATGCCCTTGACCGGAATCGAACCTGGGACCCTTCAGTCCACAGGCCGACGCTCTATCCACTGAGCCAAACCGGTTTCAGCAGCTCTTTCATTTTAAACTCTGTCCCCAAGGGATAGTGCTGTCACTATCCTGGATACATTTCCTTTAATTTTACTGACTAGCTTTTTAAAAACCACTGAGAACTGACACCTCCTACACCCACATAAGCTTACTGTCTACATTAACATGACAACTATTTCATGACACTCTTGCCTGGAACTTAAAAGTGCAGGTACAGCCCAGCCTTGGTAGCTCAGTGGTTGAGTGTTGACCTATGAACTAGGAGGTCATGGTTCGATTCCCGGTGAGGGCACATGTCCAGGTTGTGGGCTCAATGACCCCAGTGTGGGGCATGCAGGAGGCAGCTAATTAATGATTCTCTCTCATCATTGATGTTTCTTTCCCTCTCTTCCTCTCTGAAATCAATCAAAACAAAGTTTAAAAAAATGCAGGTACATTTACTGTTCATTTTAGAAACTTTCTAAGAGAACCATCAACTCTTCAACAGAAAGCATCACATGACAATTTTGTACATTCCAAGACTCTTAGAAAACCTGGTCTCAAAATCCTTGTTTTTTGGGATCCATCCATCCTAAACTATGACATCATGACCTTACCCAGTCCTAATCAACTCCTGTCCTGCCCCGCCAAGCTAAACATCAAAGTCTCAAGCAATACCACGACTTTGTCCTGCTGCCTCTGAGCCACTAGTACAGCTCTGCCAAGGTCGTGTTCTTCCTTACTATGGTAAGAAGAAACTCAGTTTTGTCTTATCAACAGATTATTTTACTGATATTCTGGGAAACTATTTGACAGCATAGAATAAAAATAAGATTAACTAGTCTGATTTATTTCCAATAGAAATGTCAAGGGAAGGCTGCAAGTACAACCCTGTAGTATAACTGGATATGAAGGACTGGGACTTGATATTCAGACCTAGAGAGAAAATTTTCCACTCCTATCTTCAACTGCTCAGTGTGGAGGCAAACAAAAACTGGGGACGGTGGTACTCTGTGCCTGACACAACGGATTATCTAATTTAATCTTTATAAGGGAAGCACTTTTATTATCCCCATTTGACAGATGAGAAAATTGAGGCTTAGAAACATAAAGTACTTGTCCAAGCTCACACAGCTAGTAAGTGCCATCAGCGGGCTTTGAACCCAGTATTCAGACTGAAGTGACGGTGCTCGCTCTTAATCACTGCACTCACTATACATTTCATGAGAGTTCAGAAATCCAAAAGGAAAGACAAAAGTGTAACTGAGTTCAATGTCACATAATGTTGGCTTTAGGAGAAGAACTTACACAGTGCTGAGATAGCACAGAATTAATTTTTCCTAGGGGCAAGAAGGACCCTGGCCGGGTGGCTCGGTTGGTTGGGGCGTCGTTCTGTGCATCAAATGGTTGTGAGTTCAATTCCTGGTCAGGGCACATACCTAGGTTTTGGGTTCGATCCCCAGTTGGGAGGTAACTGATCAATGTTTCTCTCTTACATCAATGTTTCTCTCTCTTTCTCTCACTCTCCCTCCCCTCTCTCTTTCCTTTCCTCCCTCTAAAAACAATAAGCAGATCCTCAGGTGAGGATTTTTTTTTTTTTTAAAAAGGAAGCTTTTAATCTGTAACAGACTGTGTACAACCATTTGTGATAACTCACTACATTCGGACCAGTGCAAAAAGGAAGCTTTTATAAAAGAGGTGTTAAAGAAAAAATTATTCTGAAGCCTGTTAAAATGGAAAGAAACACTTTATTCGGGATTATTGCAATAGGAACATTATAATAGGGGAGAGAGATTGTGCTCAACCCAATAAGGGCAAGTTGGGATTCACAACCACCAAGTCAACTGAAGAGGTCCGTGGATAAAAGAATTAGTAAGAGTGGGTGACCTGGAGGTGACATTTGATTAATTTGAATAACACGCTTGACAAGCAGGGAAAAGGATGGGAGAGCAATGTGAGATGGAGGGAGAGCTGCTCATCTATAGCAGGGCTGTCAGGTGGGTTTCTCTGTGAGGACGGACATGTCCAACACCTGCGCTGGCTGGTCCAGTAACCACTAACACGTGTGGACATGTGCTGTTGCAGCTGGGAGCTGGGTGTTTATATAATCTAGATTTAAATAGCCCTATGTCGTCGCTGTCCTGGCTAGCGCAGATCTACAGCCTCCGGGTAACAGGGGTGTGGACTCTGGGAAGGAGAAGCAGGAGGCAGCCGAAGAGCAGGTGCCCAAGCAGCAGCTGCTGCTTTCACCTTTGCCCTGAGCTCCAGTGCGGCCCAGCCCTGCCCAGCGGTAATGACTCTGGCCTTTGGACTCTCCACTGCACTGAAGAGGAAGGTGAGAGAAATCGTATCCCTGGCGCTTGCTGTCTCTGTATCCACCCGGACTCAGCAGTTTTGTTTTTCAACGGCCAGGTAGTTTCTATGCCCACGTTGGAGAAAGAGGTTCATAGGTCGATGCTCAACCGCCGAGCCACGCCCACTTTCTTGTGATGGGCGCAGCAAGAAGAGGCTTCCAGGGGGGCCCTTGCTTCAAGGGAGCAGCAGCAGGGCTGGCTTTTTTTCCTGAGTGACTTGAAGAGTCCTAAACTGAGAAACAAGAGTTTGTGTGTCAACTGCAAACAACCTTCTGAGGGTTTTGTTATTGTCTTACGATCTATTTATTGAGTCAGGTGGGTTTCCTAAGGAACAAAAAGATGGTGAAAACAAGAGTTTCAGACTCCCCCCACCCCACCCCACCCCCTCACACACACACTCTTGCCTCTGAGTTGGAGCTCAGAGGAGGGGACACCATCCAAATGTTTTGATGACTGGAAGGACCCTCCAACATATTGCTTAACTTTTCACATCCGGGTTCAAAAAAGCTCTGTGACGGTCATGTTTCTAGTTTGCCTGGCACACATCACGAAAGCTCTCTGATTTCCTGGCTGTCTCTCTCTGGCCCCGGAGGGGATGTCCGAAGGGGTTTCAAGCGTGCTTTGCTCTACAGTGGGGGCAGCTCTACTGTTCGCTCTGTGTTTGTTCCTGTCATCACCCATGAAAGGACAGCGGTGCCAGGCGCTGGCCTATTAGCTCCTCCTGCAGCCAGACTCTCATAAAGAACTGGCTGTCAGGGATTTTAATGGAAACCCCCAGGAAACCGTAAATCTTTGCGCTTCCCTCCAGCCTCCTCTCCCTCATTTCCATCACAATATCACTCCGGAGGGACCAGAGACCCAAGCTGGAGCTTGGGAGAGCAGATTGGTAGGACACCAGGGGAAGAAAAAGGCGGGATGGGGGAGGGGAACAGAGCTGGCACAGTTGGTCTTAGGGAAGCATCTGCTGGGTGGCCGGTTGATGATGGTCACCTGGGCTCCCAGGGCCTTGGAGAGGGGGAGGGACAAGATAACCCAGGACCACCTGGAGGAAAGAGAGAAGAGGATAGTAGAGGTTTCTGGAAGATCCGCAGATGGGCCACTGATTTCACCCTCCAGGATGACTTTAAGCACCATGTAGCAGGCTGCTTCGGACTAAGCCATGCCTTTGCCTCTAGCCTCCTGCCTGGGCAGATCAGCAGGTGTAGGTAAAACCGGACAACCAATGGGTCCGGGCTGCCTGTCACTACTTGAGCCAATTCAGCAGAGGCAGGGTTGAATCATATATGAGCGTTTATCCAATACTGCCGGCAGTGTGGGAGAGCAGCAGGTCAACCACAAACATCTGCTCTGCAACCCCACACAAGCCAGCTGTTTATAGGCATGGGGAGGTAGGCTATGCAGGTTGGGATGGGGCTTCATTGTTTGGGCAACAAGTTTGTTAATCTTTCCATGATAATAGGCAATTCTTTTTTTTTAAATATATTTTTATTGATTTCAGAGAGGAAGGGAGAGGGAGGGAGGGAGGGAGAGAGAGAGAGAGAGAGAGAGCTAGAAACATCAATGATGAGAATCATTGATTGGCTGCCTCCTGCATGCCCCACCTTGGGGATCAAGCCTGCAACCCGAGCATGTGCCCTTGACTGGAATCGAACCCTTCAGTCTGCAGGCCGACGCTTAAGCCACTGAGCCAAACCAGTTAGGGCTACACAGGTTTTTTGTTTTTGTTTTTAATGTCCATGTTGAGCCTCCCTGATGCTCCAGAGGTGGGGGATTATGGTGGTTCCTCTACTAAAGCTCTGCTTTATTCAAATGAGGGAAGTTCAGATGAGGTTTCTTTCTGCATCTGCTGTAGCTCATGGTAGGTGAAAGGATTTTTTTAGTCCCTTCACCTGCCATTTCTCTGATGTCATTTCACAGCCTGACGTCCTGGGCACACGCATGGGGCACATGTTCCCAATGAAGGTGGTAAGAGCTTACACCCTCTAGGAAACTTTCCTGGACCGACTCCATCAGATGTGGATATTGCCTCCTCCATGAGTCCTTTGGAAGAGGTTTCCTGAGAAGGGCCCGTTTCTCCTCCGTGTGTGCTTCCCTTCAACTGCCAGAAAAGATTTCTACCCTCACAGGAGAGTAATGATCCGTAGTCTCACTTCTTGGGACTAAATAATCGCTTTCACAGGAGCAGCTACGTTTCAGTGGCATCAAATCAAGCATCTGGAAAGCTCTCAAGAATGAAGAGGGATGGATGGACATAGGCAACAGGAATCCTCAGCGGAGTCCTTACAGGTGTTTCTAAAATTGCTATGGTTCAGGAACTTAAAGTTGATTTTTTGTTTCATCTTGCACCAATCCTCAATTAATCGAAGCAGAAACAGCTCTACTGGCTGCCAATCCTTGGAAGGTAGGAGTCTGGGTTGAGGACCAGACTAAAGCTGACAAGCTCAGGGGAGGCCTGCATGGTGGCCTTACAAACTCAGAGACCGAAAGCAACCACAGGTGACCTGAATTAAAACTTCCTAATAAAAGCGAGTCATGGTGGGCAGTCATGTCGAGGCCGGCATCTTCTCTGACAAAGGTCAGTCTGTACCTTCACTGAGCCTGTCTATTGTCTTTCTGCATCTAGGTAACATACCTTGGGAATGTCAGGCTAATTTCCTTTTTCCAGACCCCTCAGGGCACAAACACTGCAGCAGAGCATAAACCACAAAACCCCTCACTGTTACTCGTGTTAATTGTTAACTGTTCATTATCTATACCCGCCAAGTAAAAGAAGTATGTGTCTATTCATTTTACTTGTTATCTAATCCCCAAGATTCCCCCATTTTGCTTCCCTAATCTATCAACAATGGATTTCATGTAACCTCCTTTGATTCTGATGTATAAAATAAATGGTAAAACTGCCATTTTCCAGAGCATCTTCTCAATCCGTTGAGAGTTTGCCTCCCGGTAATTGTCATCAGTTTGGCTCAAATAAACTCATAACGATTCTGAAAGGTTCAAGTCCGTGCTGCTCGGGCAGGCTAAATAACCACCTCAGAAGATAAAGAAAAATTGAATTTATTTAAAGAAAAGGGGATGGGGCGGGGGGAGGGGTGGGGAATATCCAAAGGGAAGAGCTACACAGCACTGAGCCAAAGGGTATTGGGTCCGTGATGGCAGCAAAAATGTACTCAGGACAGTAAAACAAGGAAGGCCATAGTCCAGTGATGGCGAACCTTTTGAGCTCGGCGTGTCAGCATTTTGAAAAACTCTAACTTAACTCTGGTGCCGTGTCACATATAGAAATTTTTTGATATTTGCAACCATAGTAAAACAAAGACTTATATTTTTGATATTTATTTTATATATTTAAATGCCATTTAACAAAGAAAAATCAACCAAAAAAATGAGTTCGCGTGTCAGCTCTGACACGCGTGTCGTAGGTTCGCCATCACTGCCATAGGAGAAGCAACAGGAGAGCCGAGGCTGGGCTGCTTTAGTTCACTGAAAAGTCAGAGAAAAGGAGGCCTTGGAGACAGGTTTAGGGGGTTAGCCTGGGACGAGCTGCTGCTGCCCATTGCTCCCCTGGTTGCAAGTCTCCTGGGGTCCCTTAGGGGGAAGGGAATAGCGCTGACATGCTTCTCTTGGGGAGAACCGGTGCTGGGTCCTTTGTCCTGAGTGTATTTATCGCTCTTTTATAGGTAGAAATCTTAGGGGAGGTCTCAGGGAGGGACTTAATAGAATATTCATCAGCTTTCCAGGTGTGCTCTTTCAGGGTTGTGGTGTCCACTGATTGGTCGGTACCAGGGCAGGGGGTCATTAGTCAATGTAGCTGGTCCTGAGGCAGCCACGGAGTCACTGGTCTGATTTTTCTGCTTTTCTGGGTCTGGAGTTAAAATACAACTGAGGCCTAGAGGTTGTCTTTAGGGAGGAAAACGTCAGGAGGTCTAAACTGCCTGACCAGGGATATGAAAGATCAGGGGTCCAAACCACGTGACCAGTGATATGCCAGGGGAGGAAAGGTTACCCCGGGGGCAAGGTTCTTGTTTTCCCAGTTTTGCCCCTTGCTAGGCATCAGCCCTGGTGAGTTTCTGTACCTGGCCCACCGTCCTTGCTCTGCTCATGTCTGTCTAACAGATTCTCTCCAGGATGTTATGCTGACACAGGTAGAAAAGGAAGGGAACCCCTATTATTTGAAACCAGTCAGGCCTCTGATCCCCCCCCTGTCTGAGGACAGTCACCATGTTGCTGTGAGAAGCCAAGACCCCCCAACTTTGGGCGGCCCTCTCTTATTGACCAACTCAGTGGAGGAGCCACGATCTCCCATACGCTTGGGAGCTGTCAGGATTAGAAAAAGCTCAGCCGTTCATAGAGGTTTGTAATACCCATTTTACAGTTAAGAAGCTAAGCCTAAGAGAGGGCCTGAGATCTTGACTTGGGTCCCAATCCGATGCTCTCTGTACAGCGCTCCTGCCCCCCAGAGGGCCTAATTAGGTACCAGGCGCCCCTCGATCAGCGCAGCAGGAGCCGGGGAGCCAG